CCAAACATACAAACTTTCACATTTATAATATTTATTAGATTAGATTACACAAAAAAACCGGCTTACACTCATACTATGTAAAATACTCACTTTTGCGTCACAAGTTCTTTGAATTAAACAAAGAGTGTTATAAAGATTACTTGTGTAAAATCAAACGACGTATAATATATAACCCCAAATCATTTTATGATTTCGTAAACTCCAAGCGAAATGTACGGGGGTTTCCTTCCGCCATGAAGTATCAAAATACCGTCTCTGGTGATAATCAAACAATTTCTAACATGTTCGCTCAGTTTTTTAAATCCAATTATTCCACTAACTCCCAAGCATACTTTGACTATCCTTTTAAACTAAGTCCAATTAACTCAATACATAACCCTATAATATCTCCCGATGATGTTTTAGTTTACCTGAAGTCCTTAAAGCAGTCTTTTAGTTATGGTCCTGACCAGATCCCCACTTGTTTTCTTAGAAATTGTGCTGATTATCTCTATGAGCCGTTAACAGCCTTATTTAATTTGTCTCTTAAAGAGGGCGTTTTTCCAACTGTGGAAGGAATCGTTCATAACCCCCTTACATAAAAGCGGTAGCAGGTCTTCAGTGGAGAACTACCGGGGCATAGCTAAGCTTTCTGCAATTCCTAAATTATTTGAAGCAATTATAACAAATCGGTTGACGCATTCTATCACTTCAAGCATTTCATACAGTCAACATGGATTTTGCAAGGGCAAATCAACTTCTACAAATTTACTTGAATTAACATCCTATATCTCAAAAGCATTTAGTGAGAGCAAAACTGTTGATGTTATATATACTGATTTCAGTAAAGCATTTGACAAAGTGTGCCACTCGTTGCTCATCTATAAACTTGATCTTCTTGGTCTTCCACCTAATTTTCTACGTTGGATCTCTTCATACCTCTATGATAGATCACAAAGGGTATTGTTTAAAAATACTATCTCTGACGTCATTGATGTTACTTCAGGAGTCCCTCAGGGTAGCCACCTAGGCCCGATTCTGTTCTTGCTTTTTATAAACGATATTTCTACAGACATAAAATTCTCCAAAATTTTAATGTATGCAGATGATGTAAAACTTTATAAATCGTACGTTTCAATTGAAGAAAGGTCTTTGCTACAATCAGACTTAAACAGCATGGCTTACTGGTGTAAAGTAAATCTTATGCCTCTAAATCTTAAGAAATGTAAAGTAATGTGCTTCTCGCGAAGAGCTGTTCTGCCAGTTTCTTATATAATAGGTAACCATAACCTGGAACAGGTATACAATTTTGTGGACCTTGGTATCACAATGGATCCTAAGCTTAATTTTAATCTTCACATTAATGTGACCGTCAACAAGGCTAAAGGTGTACTTGCATTTGTGAAACGATGGTCAAAAGAATTTAGTGACCCTTATATCACTAAAACCCTGTTTACAACATTAGTTAGGCCGATTCTGGAATACGGCTCGGTGGTTTGGAATCCAAGGTATCAAATTTACTCAGACAAGATAGAATCAATTCAAAAACAATTCCTACTTTTTGCTTTAAGAAATTTCCGATGGGATTCTCAATATAGTCTTCCACCTTATACGAGTCGCTTAAAACTTATTAACCTTCCTACACTTGCCAGTCGCAGGGAAATGCTTGGTATAATTTTTATGGTTAAATTACTGACAGGCTCAATTTCAAGTCCGTCTCTTCTGGCTGATGATGTAAGCTTTAATGTTCCATCACGCGTATCAAGACACTTTTGTCCCATATTTCTGAAAGCTTGTAAAACCAATTTTGAATTGCACGACCCACTCCGTTGCTTATGCCAGGATTTTAACTCTCATTCCAGCACGTTTGATATATCAGATCCGCTTTTCAGCATTAAGAAAGCGATACTCTCCTCTCTCAATAAGTGAATTATTAACGTAAATACATAAAATCAGCTGATGAATTTAGTTCTGTAGCTGAACAGTTTTAGATCTCGACACTTAACAAACTCCTGCCTATCGTGACTCGGCACCAAAAAAATTTAAAATATTGGTTCCGTA